GAGAAAGAAAGAAAATTGGTCTTGAAGAATTGACTCTATTTCTATACACAGACTGCTGCTATTTTTCCACTATCTTTGATCCCAAATCTAAGAGCTACATGCAGTTACCTAAAAGCAACTTTGTTGGTTAATCATCTGGTGTCTTGACTAGTACATAAAACATGAGATTTAAGGACAGATATTATATGCAGATGGATGTTTTTTCTACCTAGGGAGGACCAAAAACAAGTGGGCTCTCATAAAAATATATTATACCTCTTATGTATATTAAGGCTCATGTGTTATAATTATCCCCATTACAATTATCATAAACTATAAACTACTTATCATGGCTTACAAACTCTGCATGATATGGCTCATGCCAGCCTCAGACCAGTCATTTCTACTACCCTTCCCCTTTGCTCACTGGTTTTCTTTTCCTGAAATGTTCTTTCCCTCGCTCTTCACTGGACTTACTTCTACTCATTCTTTAATGTCTAACTATCCTTAAATGTCACTTCTCAGAGAATTCTAACTCCTAATCTGAAAAGTTTCTCTTGTTCTCTTTTATAGTACACTATTATTTTTCTTATCTCATTTTGTAATTATACATTCAAATATGTATTTACTTTTTAATGCTCATCTCCCCAGTCAGACTGGAAGATCCATGGAGGCCAAGATTCATGACTGTCTTTTTCACTTCTGTTTATACCCAGTTATTTAGCACAGAGCCATACATTTAATAGGTGGTCACTAAATAACTATTGAATGAGTGTAAGTTTTGTGTCTTTAATGAAAATCTTAAATATTTTCATTAAAAATTTTTTTCTTTCCTTTTAATTAAGGTATAATTTATATATATAGTGAAACACACAAATCTAAGGTACATAGTTGAATGAATTTTGATTAAGGCATACACTCATGTAACCCATTTTCCATAAAGATATAAAGTACTTAACATAATCCTCGAAAGTTCCATCATGCTCATTCTCAATTAATTTCCTGCCCCGGAGGCAACCAGTTTTCTGATTTTTGTCACCATCAGACTAATGCTTGAAGAAGTTTGAGAACCTTAGTAGGAGAAAATATGCAAGTTTGGCTGTATTAAAATAGATACACTTATAATTGATTGCAGATCATCCAGCCCCTAATAATAACATTTAGAAAGTATTTTACCTAGATTCAAGACATAGGAATCAGATAAATGTAACAGTCCACCTTGTTTAGTTGGTTAAGAGAGGGCCAAAATAATGCTTTGAAATCTAGAACATCCTCTTTGTTTTAGGACTAATCTCCCTTTTATATTTTGACTCATTTCATACCACGAATTTTTGTTTTACTAATAGATTTATTCCAAGAGATAATGTTTTTCTACAAAAGTTTTTCTATTTTCAGTGAGAAAAGGGCAGATTAAATTCAGGAGAAGGGGGAGGGTATAGCTCAGTGGTATAGAGCATGCTTAGCATGCATGAGGTCCTAGGTTTAATCCCCAGTACATCTATTAAAAAAAAAAAAGAAACAGTAAATTCAGGAGAAATGTCTTTTGGTCCATCATGTATTCCTGAGCATGTTGTACTTCTCTTTTTCTGTTTATAAACTCAACACTGTTTTTATTCTCATAATTTCAGTTTTAAGTTTAGTAAACTCCCAAGTGTTATTGTACCTTTCTTTTACCCTTAAGTTTTAAGTGTGTGGGCCAATTTCAAGGGATCATTTTTGTATATTTTGTTGTACTTCTTACAGGGTCATGTAAAAGTTGTTCAGTATTTGGTGAAGGAAGTAAATCAGTTCCCTTCTGATATAGAATGCATGAGATACATAGCAACAATTACAGATAAGGTAGGTTCAATATACTGTTTGTTGAAACACATTTTTGTTCTTTGTGGAATTATATGCCAAAGTGTATAGTTAGCAACCTGTTCTTTTTGTCCTCTATGAGACTGATAAACTCATCTTTCTATGTTTTAGTTTCTCCATTTGCGAAATGAATAATGGGCATATTTTTCATAAATTATTTTGAGATTTTCTTCTAATTATGGATCATAATTCAGTGATTGCAGCTAAAGTTTATTACCAGACTATTAGACTGATTAGAAATTTTTCTAAGAATGTACAAACTTTTTAGGAAATGATACCTTATTTTGATAAAAGATTAATACATGATTCAAAGGATAGCTTAATTTGGTTTAGTTAATATTCAGCAATTTGAGCTTTAGGCCCTGGACTGTGGAATACTCATAAGCTCAAGTTTTATTTGGCTTGTTTATATTATGTGTTCCTATATTTATATAGTTCCATTTTCCAATATAGGAACTGTTGAAAAAATGTCACCAGTGTGTTGAGACAATTGTGAAGGCTAAAGACCAGCAGGCTGCAGAAGCAAATAAGAATGCAAGTATTCTTTTAAAGGAACTTGATCTGGAAAAGGTGAGTGGAAAAATAATTTTCCTTATAGAAATTGTTGATAATCTACTAGAATAAATTTGCCACCTACATGGCCAATAATCTTAACAAAATCACTTTAAAAAATGATTGATAGATTATCAAACCACCACTGATTTTTAAAATTCTGATCTATTATTTATCAAAAAAAATTTTTGAACCATTTTTGGAATTAATTTTTGAGCAGATCACAGTTTTTCAGATGACATTAATATCTATGTGGCTTTAACGTTAGTGTGAGAAATTTATTAAAACATTGGAAATCTTTTGTTTAGTGTAAGATCTGGGATATAAGTGGTTCATTAGATCCTAAATTAAAGAGTAAGTATCTAAATATCCTAGGATGTGTGGTAATATAATGGAAAAAAAAATTTTTTTTTTGAAGATCACTTTTCTGAGGCCCAGTCTGCTTATCTAGAAAATGAAAGTATTGTTAGTGAACCCAGAAGTTGTATTAAAAAATGAGCACCATGATCAAATAGTTATTACAGGAATGCAGGAGATAGCTTAACATTAATATATTTTGTTTATGATTAAAGGAAGAAAAAAATAGAATCATTTTGAGAGATTTGAAAATTTTGACACCAATTCTTCGTTTAAAAAAAAAAACTTGTTAAGAACAGAAGAACAGATTGCTTACAAATCAATGAGAAAAAGATAATTTTCCCAGAATAAAAAATGACCATATGAATGGGCAATTCACAGAAAAAGAAATATATAAATTCAATAAGTAGATGGAGAATGCTCAACTTCATGAATAAACAGAGAAATGCACAGTAACAGAGTGATTTAAAATTTTTTACCAGATTAGCAAAACTTAAAATTTGAAGATTTGGTAATAGCTATTGATAGCAAAGCTGTAGAGAAATTAGCACTCTAGTATGATTTTTGATGCGTGGTGTAAATTAGTATAACTGTTGATGGAGATGATTTGACAAGCGACTTATTTAAAAGGGTTCTTACTCTACCCGTTCCTGTTATAGAAATTTAGCCTGAGGTATGTAATTAGACAAATGCTCAAAGATGTGATTGTGTAAGGACAGTCACTGTTACGTTGCTTATAATGAATGGGGAAAAGTGTTATCCTTAAAAGTTTTATCATTATGGAATTAAATAAATTTTAGTACCTCCATGATGAACTTGATTACAGTTAAAATCAGAAGGGGAAAAAATGTTATATTCATTTTTAAATAAAGTGAAGTTTGAAGTTAGATGACTACCAAGTCCCTCCCATGTCTAAAATGTTTATTTTTTGTGTAACTACCAGGGATATGGTCAGCAATTCCTTAAACAGCCAATTTGCTCTAATGCCAACAGAGTGATAAAATAATTGTTAGCTGAATATACAGTCTCTTCTTTCAGTCTTCAGCCCCTTTCTCATTTATATAGGGGATTGACAAACTTTTTCTATAAAATAACAAAGTGTAAATATTTTAGGCTTTGCTAGGCCACATGATCTCTGGCATAACTCCTTGATTCTACTATTGTAGCACGAAAATGCCCATAGACAGTGGCTAAATGAATGTTCCAATAGAACTTTATTTATGAACACCAAAATTTTGATTTCATATAATTTTCACATGTCACAGAATATTCTTTGTATTTTTTTTTCAACCATTTAAAATGTAAAAGTGAGTCTAGCTTTCAGGCCATAGAAACACAGACAGCAGACTGGATTTGGCATTTAGGCCATATATACAGTTTGCCGACGCCTGATTTAGACAAATAAGAATTTCAAAGAGTAACCAATGTATGACTCAGGATGAGGAAAATGCTTTACTTTATGACCGGGAAAACTGAACTTCATTGGCAGATTTTTATGGTGAGACTTTTTTGGATAATTTCCATAGAAATATGAGTAACTTGATGTGCTTCTGTTTGCTTCAGACTTTCATTATGATGCTAGGCAACTATTACATGTTCCCTTTTCTGAAAAAAAAAAAAAGGTATTTTCTAGTACTAACCAAAGTAAAACTCTATAAAGTAAGAAAAAATTTTTTTCTATAATGGCCTCTCATCGATATTTTCATAGTGAAATTTGTTAATATCTTATGAAGATCATAATAGCTGCATTTTAGTCAAACAGATGCCATATAAATGTATTTTTTAACAGCTTTACTAAGGTTTAATTCACATACCATACAATTTGCCCATTCAAAGTATACAGTTCAGTGGCTTTTAGTATATTCAGAGAGGTGCCTTCATCACCACAATCAATTTTAGGACATTTTCATCATCCCAGAAAGAAACCCTACATCCCTTAGGTATCATCCACCATCCCTTCAATCCCTTCATCCTACAACCCACTAATCTACTTTATGTCTCTGTACTTTTGCATACTCTGGACATTTCATATAAATGGAATCACATAGTATTTGGTCCTCTATGACAGGCTTCTTTTGCTTCATAATGTTTTCAAGGTTCATCCATCTTGTAGCATGTATCAAGATTTCATTTCTTTTTATTGCTGAATAATATCCCATTATATAGATATACTACATTTTGTGTATCCATTTATTAGTTGATGGGAATTTAGGTTGTTTCCACTTCATAGGTTGCAAGTTTTTTGTTTGCTTTGTTTTAGCGTGGAATGTTTCATGAATTTGCATGTCATCCTTGTGTAGGAGCCATGCTAATATTCTTTGTATTATTTCAGTTTTTCAGTATATGTGCTGCTGAAGTGAGCCTGATGTACAAGTTTTTGTACAAGTATGTTTTCATTTCTCTAGGGTATATATATCTAGCAATCTAGATCATATGGTAATCTCTAACCATTTGAAGAACTGCCAGATTGTTTTCCAAGGTAGCTACACCATTTTATGATCCTAACAGCAGTATATGAAGGCTGGAATTTCTTCACATCCTCACCATGATTTGTTTTATTTATTATAGCCATCCTAGTGATTGTGAAGTGGGTATCTCATTGTGATTTGCTTTGCTTTTCCCTGATGGCTTGTGATATTGAGCATCTATCTCTTCATGTGTTTATTGACCATTTATATATGTTGTTTGGAGAAATGTCTTTTCAGATCCTTTGCCCATTTTTTAATTGAGTTATTTGTCTTTTCATTATAGAGTTGTGAAAGTTCTTTATAAATTTTTGATAAAGGCCCTTACCAGATGTAAGATTTGCAAATTTTTTCCGCCATTTTATGGGTTGTCTTGTCTCCTTCTTGGTGGTTCCTCTGAAACACAAGAACTTAATGTTGATGATGTCCAGTTTATCTATTTCTCCCTTTGTTGCTTTAAAAAATGTGTTTAAGACTGACATCCATGGAAATCCCCATGTATCATAAACAAAAATATTATTTCATTCTTTATTTTAAATTATTTCATTATTGATGAGATGATATACATACTTTATTTGCAGTCAAGAGAGGAGAGCAGAAAGCAGGCTCTTGCAGCTAAAAGAGAGAAAAGAAAAGAAAAGAGAAAAAAGAAAAAAGAGGAACAGAAAAGGAAGCAAGAGGAAGATGAGGAAAACAAACCTAAGGAGAATTCAGAACTACCAGAGGATGAAGATGAAGAGGAGAATGATGAAGATGGTGAGAAATGACCCATCTGAAATAGTGATAAAAATTCTCCTGCGTTTGTTAACTTCATTCTGAGTGCTTTTTGTTCTAATTCTAGTTAAATAAATATTCAATTGCTTTAATCTGAAATTGACTATTGACTTCTGTAGTAAATATTTTAAAATATTTTATATTGTAAAGTGATACAGAGAAACAAGGGAGAAGGCAAGCACATAATTTGAAGATACTCAGTTGTAATTTAAGTTCCCCTGTAAAATATTGTATATGTTCTAGAAGTGATACAGCAAGAGGTTTGCCAGCTCCTCTTCAGGTTCTTCCCTACCTTCTCCTTCCCCAGTTTCCAACTGGGGAGAGATCCAGTTCTTCCATAAGTTGCTCGTAGCTACATAGGGCTGGTGTCCATCACTCTCAAAGAGTTTTTTTATTGTACAGTCTGGCAGTGCTTGTAATAAGCAAATAATTTTGTTCTATTTGAATTATACTTCTTAAATACAATTTGAAAATTTTCCTAAATTCAAACTATATTGAGATTTTTGGTTAATTCATGAGACTAGCATTTCAGATCTTAAGAATGTTAATTGTATGTTTTATACCAAGTTAGACATCAAAATATGATACAGTGTATTTGCATTTGTTCTAGTAGTAAAGATTTCTTTACTTACTAGTGAATACTGGTAAAAGGAAAATATGACCTAAGAGTCTGAACTATTACGAATTATAAGGTATATTCTGTCACAATTTGTTTTGAGATCTGTGTCTCTCAGTGTGATTTTTATCCTTTTTCATAATTTCAGTGGAACAAGAAGTTCCCATAGAACCTCCCAGTGCGACCACCACCACCACAATTGGAATCTCTGCAACATCTGCAACATTCACAAACGTGTTTGGGAAAAAAAGGGCTAACGTTGTGACAACTCCCAGCACCAATCGGAAAAATAAGAAGAACAAAACAAAGGAGACCCCTCCCACTGCACATTTAATATTACCAGAACAACATATATCCTTAGCACAGCAAAAGGCAGATAAGAATAAAATAAATGGAGAGCCCAGAGGTGGTGGTGCAGGTGGGAATAGTGACTCAGATAACTTGGACAGCACAGATTGCAACAGTGAGAGTAGTAGTGGTGGTAAAAGCCAAGAGTTAAATTTCACTATGGATGTGAATTCCTCTAGTGATAGGAGATACCCCTCACTGCTACTCCATTCCCAAGAAGAAAAGACAAGTACTGCCGCTTCCAAAACTCAGACACGGTAAAATTTTCTAACTTGTTAATTCTTCACCTACTTTTTCTTTTTAACGCCTGGCAGAAGAACTTGAAGTATGTTCTTCAAGCCCAAGTTGCGTTAAACGGTTTAAGTTTATCACATTATCTGTCTTGAATGTTCAAAACAAATTCACCAATGTCTTCCTAATCATGTTCTAGTTATGAAATGAGATTATTAGAACTTTTAAGATTAAAATTTAAATTTGGAAATATTAGCATACATTGATTTTATTTTAACTATGTAATTTTTACTAATTATAGTCCTTTTGGCTTCTGAATCCATTTTAATACTAAAATAAATGATGGACTCTGACCTGATTTTGTTTTTCTAAATTGTTAATAATCTCATGTGCCAAATTTTAACTCAAATATTTCAGTATACCTTGTGTATAAAGGACTAATCTCTTGAGTTCCTATCTTAAAATGTATCTTTTATTGGACTTGATATTTCTTTTCTCAGACTTGAAGGCGAAGTAAATCCTAATTCTTTATCAACAAGCTATAAGTCAGTATCATTGCCATTAAGCTCTTCAAACATAAAGCTGAATCTGACTAGCCCTAAAAGGGGGCAAAAAAGAGAAGAAGGGTGGAAAGAAGTTGTCCGAAGGTAAATAGAATTAGTCTCATCTTTTTATCTTTAATAACAGGTTTTCCTCTTGTGAGATAGTTACCCAGTTAATGAATGATTTGAATGTGGCTATTATTTTCAAATGCAGTTGCCATACTATATCCAGAGTAGATTAAAGCAAAATTAGAAACAGTATGTAAATTTTGCATACATATTTTATATGATACAACAAATGTTGGCTTTAGAATAATGAAAAAGTACTTCATTAAAGCACAAGATTGGGAAGAGGGTATAGCTCAGTGTTAGAGTGCATGCTTAGCATGCATGAAGTCCTGGGTTCATTCCCCAGTACCTCCATTAAAAATAAATAAATCTAATTACCCCCGTCTCCCCCCCAAAAAAAGATTTTAAAAAACACATAAGATTACATTTTACAGACAAACCATACAAAAAGATCAAGTTTCACTTGACAACAAAGTCACAATCTTATTAGTGAGGACTGTCATGTTGTTTAATGGTCCCATTTTAATTCAGACAAGCTTGTCCATCTACAGCATTTAAATAAAGTTAGACCTGGCTAGAAAAGAACTATTCTGAAGAACTGGTTATCTCCTTTTAACCAATGCAGTTAGATCACCATAAGAGGGGAGAAAGAAGCCCATAAAATTAAAACTACCTTCCCCCTCAAAAAAAGAAAGAAAGAAAGAAAGAAAGAAAGAAAGAAAGAAAGAAAGAAAGAAAGAAAAACACCCACACCCCTGTAGCTAACTTTGACAACTTCCTTCATTCACACTGCTTTATAATAAAAGCAGAGAGGGGCTAGTGCTTTTAAATGTTTCACAACAATCCAGAAGATATTTCTAGTCTCTGCTCATGCTTTACAACAGGGAATCAGGACAAGACATAGATTTGTTAATGTGCATTTAATTACCAAAGGACTAAGATATCAGGGCTTTTTTTTCTGTAATGTTTCTAAGACTTTGTGTCTATTAAAAACAAATAAAAAAGGAAGAAGTCTTGGCAGAACAGGAGAAGTGATGCATACCTGATGATCAGATTGATTTTACGTATTATTCATGGCATACAGCCTAATTGATGCTCTAGCTTTCAAAATATCTTAAATATATTGTTCCCAATCCTTTTACATTAAGATGATAAATTTTGATCAAGAAATGTATTTCAGAGGCTACCATTAGGTATTCTTCTGGATGCTATAGTTCAAAGTTTGAGGGTCCATCCCTCATAGGAGGCAGCCATCAATGACCACATGAAAATAATGGGTGTTGCTCTCATTTGGTTTGGCCAGCAAACACTGGGTTTCCTTGATAATCCTGTGGGACACCCAGGCCATCTTATCAGATCCAAGATCGGCCTCTGGTCTTTTCTCTAGTTCCACTCACCTCACACACAGGTAGAAGTCCCAGGCTCCACTTGTGAGTTGCTTTTTATATAATTCAAATCTGAGGCTTTATTTTTTTATTGCTAAATAAAGTTGTTGATACTGATAAGCTAGCCTTTATTATTCATATCCAGTATGGAATTTAACAAAATGGTATGCATTATTTTAATTTAGAAAGTCTCGATACATATGACCATTGCAGTTTATCACTAACATAATAGTTGGGCAGATTTGAATGCTTAGATTGTGATTGATTTAATATATATATATACATATATATATTTTTTTTTTAATGGCAATGTAATTTTTACCTTTACTAAGTTAAATATGATGTGGTCAGTTTCTAAAATAAAAACTTCCAATAATTTTCTCTTTTAGGTTTGAGAAATAGTATTCTGCAAATGTCCATGAACATACTTACTGAGACATCTTTTTAATAAAGACATTTGGTTTCATAAGCTCATCTATGGTCTTTTTTATAGGTCAAAGAAATTGTCTGTTCCAGCCTCCGTGGTTTCCAGGATAATGGGAAGAGGGGGATGTAATATCACTGCAATACAGGATGTTACCGGTGCCCATATTGATGTGGATAAACAAAAAGATAAGAATGGCGAGAGAATGATCACAATAAGGTAATTGTGAAATATATATTGTTAGTTTTGTGAGGAAATTAAATTTTATGAGAAGCATATTTTTGTTGGCATGGTACAATCAAGAATTTTATTTCACGGTAAAGATTACCTAGTTTTTTTTATGGTTTTGATCTTGTTTTTTGTTTGTTTTCTCTCCAGGGGTGGTACAGAATCAACAAGATATGCAGTTCAGCTTATTAATGCACTTATTCAAGATCCTGCTAAGGAACTGGAAGACTTGATTCCTAAAAACCATATCAGAACACCTGCCAGCACCAAATCCATTCATGC